GAAGGGTCTAGGCCCGAGGCGTCAGCCTTTCTGCTCCTGTGATGCTGCTTGGCCTGCTGTGTTCATCCAGTCCTGCACCTTGTTGTCACAGAACAAGCTAACGTTAGCATATGTGACTAAATTGACTGTCCCCACATTTCTTTGCAAAATCTATTTTGCTTTCCCTGATCTAAAGAGAAATGGATAAGTTTGTTCACAAAAGAAGCAATTCCTCTGTGAATTCAGTTGTTGATGAAACATCTGAACCCAGAGGAGAAAGAGCAAGAACTGTTCAGAGACAGTATAATGGGAGCCTTTGGATCCTCACGGACAGGAGATGCCATTTACTTGAAGATCTCATCAGCAGAAAGAAGTTGGCAAGGTTGCACCTGTACCCAGTAAGTTACAATGCCATTTTCAAACAAAACATCCATTTCTTGTAAACAATGATATTCAGCACTTCAAGTGCTTGACAGAACAAAACATGAAGCAGACCCAATGTCTGATGGAGTGTGCGCAGGGATCAAAGGGGCTAATTACCTGGCAGTTAAGCTTGTAGCAAAATCAAAGAAGTCCCATACCATTGCTGAAATCTTAATCATGCCTGAATGCAAAACAATCAAAGGGGTGATCATAATACCCCAAAAACTAGGAGGATAAGTAGGCAATTCAGCCCCTCAAGGCTGCTCTGCTATTTGATTCGATCATGGCTAATCTCATCTTGGCCTCGACTTCTGCCTTCCTGCCCGCTCTCCATAACCCTTCAACACATCAATAATTAAACACCTGTCTATCTTAAATTTCCTCCATGTCCCAACATCAACTGCACTCTGGGCTAGTGAATTCTACAGGTTCACAACACCTTCAGGGAAGTAATTTCTCTTTATTTCAGTTTTAAATCGACTCTCCGTCATCGTAAAACTGTGGCCTCTCATTCTAGATTGTTCCACAAGAAGAAACATCCTCTCTACACTGACTCTACACTGACTCTGTCAATCCTTATAGTATCTTCTATACCACAATGAGATTGCCTTTCATTTTTCTAAACTCAAGAGATTATAGGCCGAAACTACTCAATGTCTCTTCACAATAAAACACTGTCATCTCTGGAATCAATCTAATGAACCTCCTCCAAACTGCCTACAACACAACTACATCCCTGCTCAAGTAAGGGGACCAAAACACAACACAATATTGCAGGTGCAGTCTCTCTAATGTGTTGTACACTTGCACAACACTTCCCTACATTTATACTCTATTCTTTTGGAAATTCATATCAAAATTCCATTTGCCTTCAATATTACCTGTTATACCTACATATTAGAGATAACACAGTGTGGAGCTGGAGGAACACCGCAGGCCAGGCAGCATTAGAGGAGCAGAAAAGCTGACGTTTCAGTTCAGGACCATCTCCAATATCTCCCTCCCCTTCCTGGACCTCTCCATCTCCTTCTCTGGTGACTGCTTCGAAAACAACATCTACTTCAAGCCCACCGATTCCCACAGCTATCTAGACTACACCTCCTCTCACCCACCTTCCTGACTCCAGCATCTGCAGTTCTTGCTATCTCTACCCGCATGTTAGTTTTCTGTGATACGTACATGATGACACCCAGATCCTTCTGCATCAAAGCACTCAAAAGTGTCTTTCCATCTAGATAATAAGTTGCATTTCTATTCTTCCAAACAAAATGCATAACCTCACACTTATCCGCATTAAACTTCGTCTGCCAAATTTTGGCCCATTCACCTAACTTAGCCTTAATCATCTGTAAACTGTATATCTTCATTTTAACTTGCTTTCCCATCTCTTTCAGGATCATTAGCAAAATTGGCTGTAGTACTTTCTATCGTCGCATCCATAAGGCCTAAAGATATAGGAGGAGGATTTGAGTTTGGTCCGCCATTCAATCATGGCTGATACGTTTCTCAACTGCATTCTCCCGCCTTCTATGCGTAACCTTTTATCCCCTTACTAATCAAGATCCTATCTATCTCTGTCTTAAGTATACTCAATGACTTGGCCTGCACAGCCCTGTCTGGCAATGAGTTCCACAGACTAACCAACTTCTGGCTGAAAAAAAATTCCTCATCAACTAAATGCTAAACGGTCACCCCTTCTTTCTAGGGTGGTGCCTCGGGTCCCAGTCTCTCCCACTAGTGGAAACATTTTCTCCACGCCCAGTCCATCCAGGCCTCTCAGTATTCTTGTAGATCCTGCCCCCCAGCTATCCTCCTAATCTCCATTGAGGACAGATTCAGAGTCCTCAGACAAGCCCTTCATTCTGGGATCATTTCTGTAAACATCCTTTGGACCCATGAAATGCCAGGACATCCTTCCTCAGATACAGGGCTCATACTGCTCACAATAGTACAAATTTGTACTTTATACTGCCTCAGCAATACATCCCTGCACAAGTATTCTAGCCCTCTTGAAATGAATCCTAACATTGAATTGGCTTCCTAATTGCCAACTGAACTTGCATGTTAACCTGAAGAGAATCCCGAACTAGGATTCCCAAGTCCTTTTGAAATAACTGCACAGAGGCTGGGATCCTGTCACCAAGTCACCCTTTATTTATATGTGCACAGGTACATGGGCTCTGACCAACCAGTTTAAAGCCAGTCCCTAGACTGAGGAGCCCTTCTGAATCTCCTGTTTATATCTTTCAGCCAGGGCTCCCTGATTGGCATTGGTTAACAACCCCAATTGAGGATCCCATAGAGATCCACCTGGCCCTGGTTCTAATCACTACACCCTTTGTGCTTCAGCTTTCCAAAGCTTTTCCCTTTTCGTAGTCTGGGACTTGATTCTTCTTACCAAAGTGCATAACCTCACACTTCCCCACAGTGTATTCCAATTGCTAATCCTTTGCCCACTCTCCTAGCCTGTCCAAGTCCTTCTGCAGCCTCCCCACTTCCTCTAAACTACTTTTCCCTCCACATATTTTTGTATCATCTGCAAAACCAGCAACAACACCCTCAGTTCCTTCATCCAGATTGTTAATGTATAACATGAATAGCTGTGGTCCCAACATTGGTCCCTGCAAAACACCACTAGTCACTGGCTGCCATTTTGAAAAAGACCCCTTTATCTCTCCTCTCTGCCTCTGCCAGTCAGCCAATCCTCTATCCATGCTGGTACCTTGCCCCTAACACCTGCGTTCTTATCTTACTTATCAACCTCCTGTGTGGCACCTTGTTAAAGGCCTTCTGGAAATCCAAATAGATCGCATACACTGGCTCTCTTTTGTCTAACTTGCTCAATACTTCCTCAAAGAATTCTAACAGATTTGTCAGGCGTGACATCCCCTTGATGAAGCTGTGCCCTATTTTACCATGTATTTCCACGTACTCCACAACCTCATCCCTAACAATGGGCTCTAAAATCTTACCAACAGTCAAGGTCAAGCTAATTGACTGATAGATTCCTGTCTTCTACCTCCCTCCCTTCTTAAACAGGGGTGTTACATGAGTCATTTTCCATTTCTCTGGAACCCTCCCTGACTCCAGTGAGCCTGAAAGATCACCATCAATGCCTTCACAATCTCATCAGTTATCTCCTTCAGAACTCGGGGGCGTAGTCCATCTGGTCCATGTGATTTATCCACCTTCAGACATTTCAGCTTTCCTAGCCCCTTCTCCTTAGTGATGGCCACTACACTCACCTCTGCCCCCTGACTCTCTTGATCCTCTAGTGTGTGGCTGGTGTCTTCCACCATGAAGACTGATGAAAAGTACCTATTCAGTTCCTCCGCCATTTCTTTCGTCTCCATTATTACTTCTTCAGCCTCATGTTCCAGCAGTCAAATGACCACTCTTGCTTCTCTCTTACCATTTAGAAATCTAAAAAAAATCTTCCTCTGATATTTCATATTCACCGCATTCTATGCTTTTTCTTTTGCTTTTATATTGTCCCTGACTTACTTTGTCAGCCAGGGTTGCCTCATCCTCCCCTTCCTTGGGATGAATTTCTGCTGTGCCTCCCAAATTATCTCCAGAAACCCCTGCCAATGCTGCTCCTTGCTTCCTTGCTGGCTCCTCTTCCAATCAACTCTGGCCAGCGCCTGTCTCATGCCTTAGTAGGCACTTTTACTCGATTGTAATACCATCATATCTGATTCCAGCTCCTCCCATTCAAACTGCAGGATGAAGTCTATCATATTGCCCCTTTAGGGGTTCCCTCACCTTAAACACCCAAATCAACTCTGCCTCATTATACAGCACCGAATCCGGAATTGCCTGTTCCCTAGTGGGCTCTACCACACGCTGCTCCAAAAAGCTATCTCATAGAGATTCCACATATTCCCTTTCTTGAGATCTGCTACCAACCTGATTTTCCCAATCCACCTGCATTTTGCAGTCCCCCAAGGTTATTGTAATAGAGCCTTTTTTACTGGTCTTTTCTATTTAAAGTTTTGGCAAAGATCTGTAGCTCAGGTTGTGGATGAGGTTGTTGACTTGCTCGCTGAGCTGGCTTGTTTTTGTTCCGACGTTTCATCACCATGCTAGTTGATATCATCAGTGGAGCCTCTGATGAAGCGATGTTATTCTACTCCACTTGGAATTTATATTGTCCGGTCCGTTATGGTGAGTACTGTCATTTCCGGTTTTGAACTGTATGGGTTTGTATATCCAGTCCAATTCTATATATTTGTTGATTGAAGTATGTGTGGAGAACCATGCCTCTAGGAATTCCTGTGCGTGTCTACGTTTGGCTTGGGCTACTATGGTTACCTTGTCCCACTTAAACTGATGGCCTTCATTGTCAGAATGTACTGATATTGAGGAGAGTCTGTCGTGTTGTTTTGCTGCTAGTTGATGTTTGTGTATTCTGATGGCTAGTTTCCTTCCTATCTATCCAATGTAGTGTTTGTGGCAGTCTTTGCATGGTATTTTGTAAACCACATTTTTTCTGCATGTTGTGGGAATGGGGTTTCTAATCCTTGTAAGTGTTTGTCATAGAGTGGCTGTGGGCTTGTGGGCCACCATGATTCCTATCGGACTCATGACATATCAGAATTGACAACAAGACTTCTAAGACCACTAGGAATCAAAAATCTAATTGTAATGCAAAGCCAAATGCGAAAGCTGCACTCTTGCTGGGCAAAACCCTCTGTTTAGAGTGGGCTGAACATAGAGAGTACAAGAAAGGAGAATACCCCAGAGGCATTAAAAAGACAGAGGTGGTAGGTCTGTCACTCATTTGCAAGAGATAAGCAAAGATGACCAAACATTTAACTACATTCTTAGCACACAAATAAGGAATCGATTCAAAACAATCTATATCTCATTTAGAGACTTTGCCAAGTTTGTTTTTAAAAGTATGACATAATTTCCAAACTGCATCTTTTTTATTCCCATCATGTCTGCTCTTGAAGGTGTGAAACATGAACAGTGTTCAGTCCAGCTGGTGTTAGCAGTGTGGGTAAGTGAGGCCACGAATTAAAGTTTATCTGTCCGTCTGTTATCACTGGATAAATACAAGGCACTTGCACAATTAACTAGTTCATATTATCCAAGGCCTTCCAGGGAAACAATAAGCAGCTCTCTGCGCTGTTTTTTATGAGACTGGACTCTGAATCAGAAATGTTGTCTTGGGTAAACAGGCAGAAACCCCAATTAAAGCCTGGCAGGCAGTATGTTCGAACCAGCGAGTTAACTCCCCCAACAATTCACAGTTGTAACAGTAACGTGATTATATCACAGAGGCATCATGCAGCTCCACACTTGCTGCTGACTGATATTACAACACAGTATGTTTTATCCTAACATCTCAGCAAACAGTTGAAAGCAGTCAGGGCGTGAGTTCAATACCAGGATTTAGACTGTGATTGGTTTCCATGACAACAAGCTGCATACTTCAAGTGCAAGTGTAGATAGGTCTCACAGATTGGGCACTAGACGCTAAGCAATAATACCAATGGAGCTTATGATATTTTTCATGAGGTTGGATAACAGATCAAAGACAGTGAACTGTATTCTGCCTTCCTGTTAACATTGTCTCATCAATTTTATTTGACTTTAAAATGAGGCATAAGACATGTACTGTCTAACAGACAGTCAACCTATTTTCTTTTTGAACTAAATGCATTGCAGTGACTAGAAATTGAAACTGCATACTGTAATGAAATGTGAACTTGACTTGTTTCAGATCCTGGCAAGAATTCCATTGACAGAGAATTCCAGAGCATGTGTGCAGCATACATAGAGACCCAGGCTGTGATTCAAGTTTTAGCTTACAGCTGATGGACTCAAGTCATTTAATTCAAGCAATGCACCAGTGTGATGGGGGGAGAAAAAAATGCAAAGATGACAGGAGAAAGTTTAAAAGGAGAAATCTCTGTCACAGGACAGGAGACAGCACCAGGAGACATACTGGAAGAGACCACTAGGTGAGAAGCCACCAAGAGAGAACCTGTGTTGATAAGCGCTGTTGTGAGCAGGGGTCTGGGCAGTTAGTGTCCAGAGAAGCACTGCATTGAGCTAGGAGTAATGGGTTAGAGCTCAGGATAAGCCAGAATCACAGAATGCTTATGGTGCAGAGGAAGCCATTCAGCCATTTATGTCTGCACCAGAGGGAGCTGTTCAGTGCAACTGAGGCTCAGGAGAAGGTGTGTGGAGATCAGAAGGCAGCAGTATGCCACTGGCTGCATGCTACTGCTGGTCAACCAAGATAAACCTTCCAAGAAGTGGTATTGTGCTCTGAGCGGCTAAAGACCTCTGAATCTGCCCAGGGTCAGTGCTGGACTACAGCCTTCAGGCTGCTATGTCCCAGTGCTGGGTCCGAGCGCACATTTCAGACTGGTGTTAAGTGAAAAGGGAATGCATTGTCATAGGAGATAGCCTTCAAAAGAATTGTTATACTAATCTCTGATCTTCCTCCAAAGGGAGATATTATCTTCTTACGACACTATCCTGTAAAGAACAAGAAAGGAAATTCTCCTCGGAGCCTGCCAATATTCCTCCCCCTAAACATATGATCAAAACAGACCATTCCAGGGGAGTCAACGCATTGTTTTCGGTGGACCCTATTGTACACAAAGTTGATCATCAGGTCCTCTGCATTCTGACTCTATTTCAAAGTAGCTCATTATGCATAAAGCACTTGAAAACATTTCTAAGAGGTGTGATAGTAGTGTGCAGTATAAATTAAATCTCTCTCTTTGAAAAATACATGTCCCTAACATTGAAACCAAACCAAGTACAGCCATTGCTTCGGCAGTACATAGGAATAGACCTCCCCACCTTTCTACTATAATGTAGGCACAGGTCGACAGAACAACTGGGGTGGCACGGTGGCTCATTGGTTAGCACTGCTGCCTCACAGCATCAGGGACCTGGGTTTGATTCCATCCTCAGGCAACTGCACCCGAATATCAACCAGGAGTAATTTGTCTGTCAATTTGGTGTACAAATCAAATTCAATCTGTACAATTTCACTCTGTGCAATGATATTTATTAAAATCTGCAGTTTAAGTTGGTTAATTTACTTTAATTCTATTTCTTTCCTCTTTATCAATTTTTTAAATCATTCTAGATACTGCTGTAGCATCAAAAAATCTCTCAATTCTAATACTGTCCTAAACCTGTTTAGTTCCCCATGAATGGATACCTTTCCCCTTGGGGTTGTATTTCTCATCAGAATGTAGATTTTTTTTGAGAATTCTTAAATACCAGCAGACATCTGTAAAACACTCAGGGTGTGATATGTATCTTTATTGCAGCAGTTTACTTTTCAATTCCTCATCCTACGCCATGCCACCCTTCCAATGGCATCTGTCTCATATTTTTTCCATTTCATCCCAAGCACCTCACCTTGCTTCACCCTCCATTTCATTCGTGCTATGCATTAACTCTCCCCATGACCTCCCCTCACACTCCAATGCCATTACCCCATCATCTCCCATGCTGTTCGCCTCCTCCCATTCTATCCCCTTCTTGCAAAGTGCTTTATGCTTGATGAGGTTACTCCACAAAACACTGTTGCTATTCACTTGTGGAATTGCAAATGCTTAATTTTAAGCCATTATAGTAATATTCCACTACTAAGCATAGCTAGCACAGCTCACCAAACAAACCCACCAACAACCCAGGCAAACAATAAATGCATGTTATTATTACAGATTTCTTTAAATATTACTATTACTAATCTCCTGTCACTCTCTTTAATCTAAGTTTCCAACATATCTTAACCCAACACACTCTTCACATTTATATTGACTTTATTTAATAGACTTTGTTTAAATCCAATATCCTAGATTTGGGCTTACATGCATCACTCTCAAAATCAAGATAAATTTGTGCTTATTTTGCTCAATATTTCCCAGAGAATCTCTTCCTTTCATGCAGCTAGCTAATCCCAACTCACTACATAAAGTAAGATTTAAAAATCACCTCTTTCCTGGTTGGTTCAATGATTTGTAGTTCAAAGAGACTGCTTTAAATGTATTCCTGAACTTATCATCCAAACTAGTTTTGTCAATTTGATTTACAATGGCCAAATGAAGATTGAAGTCTCCAAAGACTATTACATTACCTTTGTTACAAGTTGCTCTTATTTTTTAATTAATACACTCTCCAACAGCGTACCTAGTAGTGAAGGGCTTATAAACAACTCCCACCAATCTTTTCTGCCCCTTATTCATTGTCTCCAGGCCTACTTTCTATTCTTTTGAGCCAATATCTTTTGTCACTACAATCTTTAGGTCACTATTCATTA